CCAACGGGGGCGCCTAGGCCCCAGGGCCACGAGGGCGGGCAGTGCCGAGAGGCAACAGAAGCAGCGAAGCTGCACAGAAGAGCTCACGTACACATTCAAATACAAGAAATGCGCATGCACGGAGCAAACGGAATTAGCGTCCGCACGCAAGGCAAGCAGCAGAAACGGAAAGCAACGGCTTGCCTCAATCATCGAGGGGGGCCCCTGCATTGCAAATACACCACGTGCACATTCAAATGCAGGAGACATAACCCACTGAACAACCACAGCCCCCCACATCCAATGGGGAACAGACGTGCAAGGCGAACCATCACTCAGAAGGCATTCCGAACACGCAGGGAGATGACGTCTCACCAGGAGCACTAACCACGCTGCTCCAACCACTCCTCCAATCCAAGCCTGGAGGCAGCGGCGCCCCGCCAGCAGTACCTCCAACGCTCGCTCCTTCATCCGAGGGCGCCTGCACCGTCGCGGCATCCGCTGTGAGCCAAGCGCGGGCAACGGCCGCCCTCGCACGCCACCAATCACGAGCCGCGACCTCGCCGCGAGCCCTGGCGCCGCCGCCCCCACGGAAGAGGGCCTGCGGGAAGGCGTCGAGGTACGCGGCGGCGGCGGCAGCAACATGTTCAGCAGGTTCGGCGGCTGGCTGCTCCCCAACCGAGCAAGCGGTGGCCACGTCGGCCTCGCCGTCGAGGATCACGCTGTCGGAGTCGGAGCACTCGCCAACAGCGCGCGGCGGCGCCGCCATAGCGCCCGCGGCCTGCACGAAGTCCACCACGCAGTCAACCTCCGACACCCCAGGGAAGAGAGGGGAAGGCACGTAGCAATCGCCGATGCGGGCGCCACGCCCAACGCGGGCGCGCCCAGCCAGATCGAACTCCATGTTAAGCTGCTGCCGCGCCTCGTCGCACTCATCGACGTTGACCTGGGCCTGCATCACCTGGGTACCGCCGCCGCCGGCAACGGGGTCAACCCCAGCTGGGGCGAAGGGCCTCGCAGCCGACCGCAAAGCCGTGCGCAGGGCCACAACTCGGCCGAGCTGCGGCAGCGCCTCAGCCTCGCAAACCTCCACGTGGCACTCGAACTTGCGCACACGCCTCGCCTCCAGCCTGGCGGACCGCTGGAGCCGCCGCAGGGTGAGGCCACACGCCGAAGCAACCCTGACCCCAGGGGCGTCGGCGTGGAGAGCCACATTCCTCCGCACAGCATCCTCCTGCTCGGGGGCCACTCCCCGCAGCAAGGCCGTGAGCGCGGGCACGATCGCCTCCAGGCGGTCGGCCAGCTCGGCGTCGCCCACGTAGGACGCGAAGCACCGCCGAACGGCCTCCAGCTCGATGCGCAGGGCCGCCGCCTCCGCGAGTGCCGCCTTCACTCCGTTGTCCGCAGCCTCGAGCGCCCGCCTCCGAGCCGCAGAACGCTCCGCGCGCGTCCGCCGCGGCTCGCCGAGGCAAGCGCGTGCAGCACCTGGAACACTGACCAGCGTCCCCGCCCGCGCCATCATGCCCAAGCGCCCGCCGCCGAGCGCCGAGCCAGGCTTGAGCCAAAATGGCTACGGAGCCGTGTCCTGTGTGGTCTGCCGTGCTCCTGTGTGGTCTGCCGTGCTCCTGTGTGGTCTGCCGTGTTCCTTCTTGGTCTGCCGTGCTCATGTGGGGTCTGCGGTGCTCCTGTGCGGTCTGCCGTGCGAACGTGTGGACTGCCGTGCTCATTTGGGGTCTGCCTTGCTCCTTTGTGGTTTGCCGCGCTCCTGTGTGGTCTGCCGTGCTCCTGTGTGGTCAGCCGTGCTCCTGAGGCGTCTACGGTGCTCTTTTGGGGTCTGCCGTACTCATTTGGGGTCTGCCGTGCTCCTGTGGTCGGCCGTGCTCATTTGGGGTCTGCCGCGCGCCTGTGAGATCTGCCGTGCTCCTGTTGGGGAAACGCCAGCGGCGTTCGGGGTACAACAAAAAGGCGCGTTTATGTTGTACCCGCGCGCGGTCTGCCGTGCTCCTGTGGGTTCCGCCGTGCTCCTGTGGCGTCTGCCGTGCTCCTGTGGCGTCTGCCGGGCTCCTGTGTGGTCTGCCGTGCTCCTTTGTGGTCTGCCGTGCTCCTGTGGAGTCTGCCGTGCTCCTGTGTGGTCTGCCGTGCTCTTGTGGTCTGCCGTGCTCATTTGGGATTTGCCGTGCTCATGTGGGGTCTGCCGTACTCCTGTGTGGTCTGCCGTGCTCCGGTGGTCTGCCGTGCTCCTTTGGGGTCTGCCTTGCTACTGTGGGGTCTGCCGTGCTCCTGTGTGGTCTGCCGTGCTCCTGTGGTTTGCCTTGCTCCTGTGTGGTCTGCCGTGCTCCTTTTGGGTCTGCTCTGCCGTGCTCCTGTGGGGTCTGCCGTGCTCCTGTGGGGTCTGCCGTGCTCCTGTGGGTCTGCCGTGCTCTTGTGTGGTCTGCCGTGCTCCTTTGTGGTCTGCCGTGCTCCTGTGTGGTCTGCCGTGCTCCTGTGTGGCCTGCCGTGCTCTTGTGTGGTCTGCCGTGCTCCTGTTGGTCTGCCGTGCTCTTCTGTGGTCTGCCGTGCTCCTATGGGGTCTGCCGTTGTTCGGCCGTCTTGAGGGCACTCTTAGGGCATAGTCTGCCGTGCTCCTCGTCTTGGTCTGCCGTGCTCCTCGTCTTGGTCATCCTTTCCGTCGTCTTGAGGGCGCTCTTGGTGCCTGGTCTGCCGTGCTCCTCGTCTTGGTCTGCCGTGCTCCTCTCGGTTCCTAAGCCTGGTCTGCCGTGCTCCTGTGGGGAGCACGGCAGACCACAGGAGCACGGCAGACCACACAGGACACGGCAGACCACACCTCGATTTTAGGAGGATGTCTCGAGCGAAATGGCCGTGGTCTGCCGTGCTCCTGTGGGGAGCACGGCAGACCACCTGCTCATTTTCTGAGGACGTCCCCTAGCGAAAACGTCATTTTTTAACATAAGAGGTTGTAAAACACCTCTGTCGGCATCTCATTTTTTCGAGGATGTCTCGAGCGAAACGCTCATTTTTCATGCATAACAGAAATTTTTGATATTTTTCAACTTCCGATTTTTTGAGGATGTCTCGAGCGAAACCGTCATGTTTAACATAAGACGTCTTAAACGATAGCCTCCAACACTTCGATTTTTCGAGGATGTCTCGAGCGAAATGGCCATTTTGGGGAACCTGACCGGACAAGAACGGGAAGCGCCGTTTTTTATCCACCACGTGCGTTAGAGACCGTATTGGCGAGAACGTCAGAGAAACCCATAAACGCAACAGAACAGACTAAATGATGGCCTGCCGCGTTCCGACGGCCCAAGACGGCCCAAGAGGCCCCCAAGATCGCTTTAAGATCGCCCAAGAGGCCTTCAAGATGGCCCCGAAACGGCCCAAGAAGTCCCCAAGACGGTCCCAAGAGGGCCCTAACACGGCGCAAGAGGCCTCCAAGACGCCCAAGATGTCTTCCAAGACGGCCAAGATGGCCTCCAAGACGGCTAAGATGGCTCCAAGAGGGCCCCAAGACGGCCCAAGAGGCCTCGAAGACGGTCTGCCGTGCTCCTGTGGTCTGCCGTGCTCCTTTGGGGTCTGCCGTGCTCCTGTGGAGTTTGCCGTGCGAACGTGTGGTCTGCCGTGCTCCTGTGTGGTCTGGCGTGCTCCTGTATGGTCTGCCGTGCTCTTGTGTGGTTTGCCGTGCTCCTGTGTGGTCTGCCGTGCTCCCGTGGGGTCTGCCGTGTCCTGTGTGGTCTGCCGTGCTCCTGTGTGGTCTGCCGTGCTCCTGTGTGGTCTGCCGTGCTCCTTCTTGGTCTGCCGTGCTCATGTGCGGTCTGCCGTGCTCCTGTGCGGTCTGCCGTGCGAACGTGTGGACTGCCGTGCTCATTTGGGGTCTGCCTTGCTCCTTTGTGGTTTGCCGCGCTCCTGTGTGGTCTGCCGTGCTCCTGTGTGGTCAGCAGACCCAGGGCTGAGGGAAGGCTGGAGCAGTGCTCTGGTGGTCCATCACCCGCCCAGCTCCGTCCCCTCCCACTCTGGACCGATCTTGCGGGAAGCTGGCTTGTGGCAGCGCATCGCGCGTCCATAGCGTTCGTGTGCTTGCTTTTACCTCCTTTAATGTCTGCTCCACCTCTCCTTGAGACGCAGAAGCCTCCGAGCGCCGGGAGCAGAAATGATGCACTTTCGAAAAATCTGTTTGGATGAGTTTTGTTAGCGCGGCCTCGGAATTCAATTTTTCCGGCGACGGCCAGAGCCGACGCCAGCGCTGGATCCGGCTCGGCCGCCAGCCCAGGTGCCGGCCCGGGCGTTCGGTTCGAGCGCCGGCCTGGGTGCCGGAATCGGCCCGGAAGGGGTTCCAGGGCGCCGGGAGCAGAAAATCAATATTTTCGAAAGAAAAATATGTCTTGGAGTGGCCTTTTTTCCGCACCGCCTCGGAATTCAATTTTCCGGCGCCGGCCGGCGCCGGAACCGGCCCGGGCGCTGGCCCGGCTTGGATGGCCGACAGAGTTGTTGTAGCTTGTACGATTTATAACCTGCGATATCCCTTGTTATAAGCAACACGATCCCTAGTTATATGTCTGGACATGTTTGCATTATCAATATAGTACCTTATAGGTGTTGACATGTCCATAACATCTGCGGATAGAACATACCTAGGGATATGTATCCGACATAACATGCAACATATACAAAAATAAGTGTTTCAAATAAGTCAACTAAGTTAACTAACCTAAGAAGGGCCACCTGAACGGGCTGACGCAGAAAAAAAAACTCGCGGCACAGAAAATGAAGGAGGAGAGCCGAGCGGAGAGGCAGGCGGCGGAGGAAGACGTGGAAGGAGGGGGGGACGCGACGCATGTGGCGGCTTATCCGCTAGCGGCCGTTGCTTTTTTTCCCTGGGCCAACTGACAAAAAATGACGTGGAGGAGCGACGGTGATGATGATGACGGTGGTGAGCACGATGATGAGGAGGGGCGGATGAGCGGGTAATCCGCTACAGCGGCTGATCCGCTTTTTTTTTTTCAAGATGATTTTCTCCGAGCTCAGTGAATCACCACCAGCGCGTTGTCGCTCTTGAGGAACCATCCAGTCGCCTTGCGCGCGCCCTCGGGCACCAGGAGCTCCGACTGTCCCGTTCTAGTCCAGATAGAGTACCCACCGAGCGGCTCGCGACGCACCAGCGCAAGCTTTCCCACGATAAGCGCTAGAACGCCACCAGCGGACAAGCACGCTTGAACCTCGACCGCCGCGTTCTGAATGAAAACCACGCTGCCAACTCTGAGCAGCAAGCCCCGCCGCCTCATCTGTTTGGACACGACGCAAACCTGGCCAAACTTGTCGGACAACGGCTGGCTCACCGCCACGGGCTCGCACAATTCGGTCATCCTGACTTTGTCCATCGCTGGGAACACCTTGACGAGAAGCTGCTGGACCGAGCTTTTCTCGAATGCCGCCGTGTTCGCGATGTGGGTCATTGATTGCTTCACGATCTTGTTCTTCCTTTCGTGCACAAAGCAATCAAGAAATATGTCGTCCTCTTGGTCTGACACAGCGTGCCACTGATAATGGTGTTTTGGGACGATGGAGTCGAGGCGGTACGCGGCCTTATGCGCGTCAAGGAAACGGCCAACTGCGCGCCGCATGATATCTTTCATAGCAACGGGCGTGGAATAGTGCTTTGCCTCGTTGATGCTGTCCAGAACGTCACAGAGACGGAGGTAGCTCTGGCGCTCCAACTGCACCTTGTGCGCGGGAACGTGTTCAACAACAAAGTATCTGATGAATGGGAATGCAGACAAGAGTTCAGATGCCCCCGCGCGAAAGACACCGCTTGATTTCCACGCCATCTCCCGAGACCCGTTGAATATGTCAGCGAACTCGCTCCTGGTCAGCCCTCCTGGGTTCCAATGCCAGTCGGCCTCGGCGAACGTCTTCAGCAAACGGAAGGAAAAACCAGGAGTACACTCAGCAACACCATTAAAAAGCAAGCCAATCTCGATATTCACGATGCCGCCTGCCAGGTACACGTGCATGCAATCGCGCAGCAGGCAGGAATGTGGAAACACGTGTGGGCGAAGATCCTTGTCGGCCAGAACGCCGTGTTCGTTCAAAGAAAATCCCATCGTTGTCTGTGCCTTTTTCAACGCACCCCCATTCCTGCGCACGGCATCCAGAATATCGTGCGTGCGCCAAACGTCCTCGTCTGACATCGGGTCGAACTGCGAGGGGTCAGAGCACGAAACGTCGACCAGGTACGTGCCAGTCTGATGATCGGCGAGCGAATCAGTCACGCCATCTTTGTTCAGCTTCACTACGTTCTTGCACGATATGGAACAACACCTAATGCCGCCAAAGCCTTTCGTGTCGAAGAACGCTTTCGTCGCAACTTCGTCACCGATCAACCGCTGAAACTTGAAATACATAATCCGCGATTGGCCACCGCACGGCACGCTGACGCCTGCCACGGCGACGCTGTCGGAGCCGAGCAGGAGCGAACGCAGGAGCGCCTTGGCCGCAGCTGGGAAGCCTCCCTGCAGATCTTTAGCGATGGTGGCGCGCAGCACGCCAACGGGCAGCCATGCCTCTTCGCATCGCAGATAGCGTCCCATCTCAAGTATGCCTATATACCAGCACGTGGTCTTTCGCTTGTTGTTCAACCTCAAAACATCGCCAGGCACCACGTCATCTATGTACAGCGCCAGGCGCCACGGCCTGTCGAAACTATTCGGTGACCTCGCCACTGCATTCTCGAACTCCTCTCTGAAACCCGCGCACTGGGCAAGACACCTCGGGAGGAGAAGTTGATACTTGGCGATGGTCCAGTCAAAGGCGTCGCCACCCTGCTTTTGCAGCGTAAGCTGAACGAGAACGTCCGCAGTGAACGTATCCACGCACTCCCGCACATCTCGCCGAGACGCCGCTTCATCTCTTCCCAGCGCGGCGAGCGCCGCCACGACGTCGCTCTCGCTGAAGTTCCGCCTGCTCAACATATCGAGGATCCTCTGCCGTTTCGCGAGCGGCTCCATGGCCGACAGAGGCGAGCGGGGAGGCAGCGGTGGAGGGGCGGGAGGCGGGACAGGGCGCCGATCGCCCGATGCTGAAATGGCTGCGGAAAGAACGACGGGGCGGAGATGCTGAACCTACATCAGCACAAGCAGCAGGAGAAGGATGATGGGGGAGTGAGGGGAAGGGATGTGTGAAAGGGGGCGAGGCGAAGGAGGAGGGAGAGGAGGAGGAGGGAGAGGAGCGGGAGGAGGCGTGGAATGGAAGCACGGGGAACGCAAGGAAGGAGCGATCAGGAGCGATCAGATGAAAGGACAGCGTATACGCCCATGGCCTACGGTGACCTGGCCCGCTTGAGGGTTAAAACTGAGGCCCCAGTTTGGCTTCAGTTTTAACCCTCGGGGGGTGGAACGCGACCCCTCGTCGACGTCGTCTGGGTCGTTCCACCCCCCCTTGCACCGAGGCCAATAAGTCCTTGTGACTCCGAGGGAGAGGAGGAGGGGGAGGAATGGAAGTACGGTGGATGAGAGGAAGAAATGGCCGACGAAAGGAATGAGCGACTAGCGGATAACCTGCTCAGCGATTGAACCGCTGCTGAGCTTGAGAAGAGGAAGAAAATGATTGGCGGATGATCCGCCGAGCGGTTGATCCGCTTTTTTTTGATTGATGGATTTTTCAGCGGTTGAGCCGCGGCTGAGCTTGAGAAGAGGAAGAAAATGATTGGCGGATGATCCGCCGAGCGGTTGAACCGCTTTTTTTTATCGATGGGTTTTCCACGAGCAACTTCCCATTGAAGTCGGTGTGAGTTAACCCCGAGCGCTACTGCAAACTGAGCGCTATCCCGTGATCGCGGCGTGTCCCCTGAGACTAGCAAGTGCAGTCGGGGCTCGCGCGGTCGGGCGCCATCCGTGGCACTACCCACGTCATGGCAAACTGCAGGGCTAATCGAGCGCTGGGTCATGTCAGCCCCTCGTCGTCAGGGCGGACCTGAAGCCAAAGCTGGCTGGAAGCATGCACGGTGCCTCCCGCGCGACTGCAGCGCCGACCTAACACGTCGTCTCCGCAGAGACTCAGACGGGCAGTGAGAAGACGGGCGGTCACGGCAGACGCAGACGGGGAGAGCCTACACGTCGTCCCCGCTCGGAACGTTGCTCTTCGCAGTGCTCAGCAGCTTGGAAAGGAGCGCGGCAGCTTCGATCGAAGTCTTCACAAGGTCATCCACTTCAGCCACCGTTGTCGTCACCTCACCCCCCATGCCACGCTCGTCGTGGACCTTCCTGAACTCAGAGTAAAGCTTCTCAAGCTCCTTGAGCTTTTTCTTGGCTGGATCGATGGTGTACTTCGGCACGTGCTTCGACATCGGATCCTTGAGATCGCGATCAAGAGAAATCCTGGGCCTCTCGATCTTGCACAAGACGCGGGTCGCCAGGGCAACGTTCTTCTTGGCCTGTTTGGCTTTCTCTTGCTCGAGCTTCCTCTGTTTCGCCTGCAGGCCCTTGTCATTCTCAGACTTCGAGTCCGAATCCGAATCCGAGGTCGAGGACGCTGCGCGCTTCTTGGACTTCTTGTCCTTCCTGTCGCGCTTGTCCTTCTTGTCGGCCTTCTTGGATTTCTTGGACTGCTTCTTGGATTTCTTCTGTTTCTTCGACTTCTTCCCCTTCTTGCTGCTCGTCTTGCTCGAGCCGCTTTCCGAATCATCTGATTCGCTCTTGCCTGGAGCTGGCTGCGTCGGCTGCGTCGGAGGCGGCGCCTTCGCCTTCGCTTTCAGCTCCTGCACCTCGGCGCGGGCGAGCTGCTCGATCGTTTTCGAATAGCCACCCCTGATGTCCACGCGGTAGCAAGTTCCGAGGATCTTGTGTTCCTCGGTGTCCTTGCACTCCTTCTCGATGCGTGTAACATCGAACCCACGCTGGGCGTAAACTGACAACGGCAGATACTCCCCGCCCACTTGGGCAACCTCCTGCTCGATCCGAGTCGTCGTGAGAGTCTGGACGAACAGCTCCTCGAGCTGATCCTTACCAGCCTTCTCCTTTGCATCTTGCCAGAACTTCGCTTGCACTGAGGAGTCAAGCCTCCTGAAGCTGGCAGGTGGCCACGATCCGAACAAGCGGGACAACTGCGTTCCGCGCGTGTTGCACTTTTCGCACTTCCACGAGCCCTGGCCTTTCCCAATCAGTGGTGCCCTCAAGACATCGACCTCTTGCTTGCACCTGTAGCACGTTGGGTTCGACGGCTCGTGCTTGACCTCAGGACCTTGCCAGACGAAGACCTCGCCTGGAGTGGGAGTCGGCTTGAGCACCGGGGGAGAAGCCTTGTCTGCCACCTCCTGAGTCGGAGTCGGCGAGCAGGCGGCGTCTTCGACGGCAAGCGGTTCGGACGAGGCAGCGGCCCCCGACGAGGCAACATCGTCGCCTTCGGGCGCATCCTCGAAGTCTCCCAAGTCGGCCACCTCAGGAGCTGCGAGCGCCAGCGTCGTCGCCGTCGGGCTATCGGCAGCCTCCGAGCCAGAGACAACCGACCCAGGCGACTTGAACTTTGTCCACCAAGCAACTGTTGCGTCATTCGCCATCTCGACGGTGGCCGTCTTGCTCTTCGACTTGGCCTTGGCTTTGGCCTTGCCCTTGGCCTTAGCCGTCGGCACGGGCGCCGCGGCAGGCGGTGGCATCAAGGCCAACTGCAGCGACATCGGAACCGCGAGAGGCGAGATGGGACACGGGGGCGCAGAAGCAAGGAGCCCGCGCGCGTTGCCCTGCAAGCACAACGGCTGCGGATGGAGGAGAGGAGGATGCGGTACGTGGAGAGAAAAAAACAACTGGTCCAGAACACGATCTGTGCAAATGTTTTCCCCTGGAGGTACGCGAAGGCGCGGAGAGAAGAGAAGAACGGATCCTATCGAGTCGCGCTTCGTTATAGCAGAACGGTTTCAATCGAGACGAGGGAGGGGTAAGATAAACGGAGTACCACGCTCAGTGTGCCAGAGGAAAAGGAGGATTTGTTTCGATTTCATTCGCACGCTCGGTTTGAGCTTCAGGGCGGGCGAAGGTGGATGTCCAAGATGGCGGGCGGCAAAATATTTGAAACCGCGGAGGAGGGCGATGACGGCCGATGACATCCGATAAGCCCGATAACATACCGATAACATCCGAAAACATCCGATAACAACCGATAACATACCGATAACAGTTATCGGATGTCGCGCTAACATGCGATAACATCCGATAACGATCACCGATAACACCCGATAACAACGTTATCGGATGCAATTTCGGTTCCGATAACCGTTATCGGACGTTATCGGACGTTATCGGATGTTATTTTGATGTTATCGGATGTGGTTTCGTTGCCGATAACATAGCGTTATCGGCGTTATCGGTTGTTATCGGTCGATCCGATAACATCGTTATCGAAACGTTATCGGTCGTTATCGGTTGTTATCGGTCACATCGTTGAGTAGCGAATGATCCGCTGTATGGCGGTCGACCCGCCGATGCCCTTCCCTTGGCGGATGATCCGCCGATCAGCGAGTGAACCGCTCGTGACAATGATCCAAGATGATGAGCGCAGCGACGAGGAAGGTGTGCTGGTGTTCCCAGCAAAGATTCGGCGTCCGAGCCCGCGAATGAGCACCCGACGTGGGCGTGCTAAGCGAGGCGCCGACGCGCGTGGCCAAAACCTGAGCTCCGCCAGCAGCCTAGCGCAGGGGGAGCACGCGCGTCGGCTGGACGTACGACTCGATCACCTCGACGCACTGCTGGATGCACGTGACCTCCTCGTTGAACGCCCGAGCCGCTTTGGCGCAGAGGTTGGCCGCGCTCTCCGCCGAGACCTTGGCACGCTTCAGCGAGTCGACGCAGGCCCTCACCTGCATCTCCGAGAGCGTGATGCGACCCGTGCCAGCACCCGTCGGCGGCGCGCTGATGGCGGGCTCCGCGGTGGGCTGCCACGGCAAGCTCTTGCGCTGCTTCTTCTGCCACCTGTCCTGCTCCTCGGCCCACTTCTTCTTGTCGGCCTCCCAGGACTCGATCAAGTTGAAGTCGACGGCCGATTCAGCCTCGGAGCGCTCGAGCTCGTGGTAGGGCGACGTCACCAAGTGATGGATGATCGACTCCACGGCATCCTCGTACGAGTGGCACGACTTGATGGTCGCCGAGCGCTTGCTGCACTGCGAGCCAAAGGGGCACTTCCCACCCCACATGATCCACGTCGGGCTTCCGTCGTCAGCGTGCGCGGCAGCAGGCTGGACATCAGCGGAGGAGGACGCAGCGTCCGACATGGATGCGGAAGCTGGCGGCGACGGGCGGCCCACGTGCGCTTCGCGTTCGAGCCAAAACGCCTATACAGAAAAAACGGTGCGAGAGCATGTGCGTGGCGAACACACAGGCGGGTAAACCGCCATGGCGGGTGAGCCGCCGAGGAAGCACACGCGTGACGCGCGCGCAGCGACACTCGTGCACACACAGGCGGATAAACCGCCATGGCGGATGAGCCGCCGAGGAAGTACGCGTATTTTTTTTCCAAGAACAATAGCGCGCGTCACAGGAAGGGCAACGGCCCGCGCCCGCTGGCGTCCTGCGAATTGGTCGCCCGCCGCTTAGGCCTGCGATGCGGCGACGGCGTCCGAGGCGCGGGGCGCTTGGACGTGGGCTGGAGGACGTTCTTGACCACGTGCGCGTCCTTGCCCTTGTCCGCGCCCTTGTGGCCGCCCTTGCTCTTGACGGCCGTGCCCTTGCGAACGCCCTTGTCGGAGCCCTTGTCCGTGTCCTCGTCGGAGCCCTTGCCGTGCTTGCCAGCAGTGCCCTTGCTGGAGACCGCCTCCTTGCTCTTGCCCTTGGCCGCGGGCCGCGCGATCGGCACGGGCGCGACCATCTTGGGCGTCGGGCGCGCCTTGTTGGTCGGAGGGTCGACCGTCGGCAGCACCATCCTCGGCTGGTGGGCCTTCGGTGGGGCGGCCATCATGCGCGCGACCGCCTTGGACTTGCTCGCGCGAGCGGCCTCGTCCTCCTGGAAGGCCTGGGTGCCTCGC